TATTAGTTTGCTACACCAACACATTCAACAAGGTGTTGATCTCTCCACCTCCTTTACTTATTCTTTTCTTTTTACTTACCACAAAAAACTCTTCTCTCTCCGCCAAACCCTCCTATCTCCATCTTCTTTCTTATTAAACTTTGGTGGAAGTATGAAAAACCCCATACGCAGATATATGAATCAAATCACTTCCTAAAGGCAGATGCAAAACTCTCATCTCCTCCAATCCCTCTTAATTTGGAATTGAAACCCGAACAACTCCAACAATACGGGTCTCCTCTCCTATACAATTTTTGGTCCATAACAATGGAACAGGAAATGATTCATCTATTTAATAACTTTTGAATTTTTTTTCTTGATGGAGTTCCGATATGGGAAAGAAGCCTTCATTTTTTGTTTGTAATATTGTGATGGCTCAATATTGTCAGGTTTTTCATGACGAAGCAGGTAAAATGTAAGATGAATCAAAATTAAATAGACATTGTTTTCCATAATTTAGGAATAGGATATTGAGATGAATCTGAAATTTTGGAACAAAGGACCCATGACGAGAGTTTTAATTCTTTGATATTGGCTTGACTTGCATTCTTGAAATTCTTTGACTCACTAGTATGGTATCTATAGTTGGACATTTGTTTTCATTATTTAGGAATATGGAAGAATAGCTCAAGTCTATAAACATTTTGGAATAAATACTTTCTAAAAGAACCAATGCTTAGTTGATAAAATAAGAAGTATACTAGTGTTAGTGATTAATGTGTGTAGGGCACACTTTAGATTTTCGCCCTGGGCCTTTGAAAACTCAGGACCGGCCCTGCTCTTCCATCCCTTGTACAATTTTTAGCATATGATTTCGCCCACTTGCACCAATCTCAGAGACCACCTCCAGTAGTTTTAGTGAGAAAGGCACCAATGTCAACCACAGCACCCATATAGCCTAGTGCCTTCTCAGACAAAAATTTAGATATTGGCAAGAAATCTCCAGGGAATGTACCAGGGGCAGTCAGTGCGACTGCCCTGGGCCCATTATTTAGGGGGGCCCCAAAATTTTATTTTAATAATTGTTATATTATATTATTATAAACTGATTTAATATTTTTGAGAGAAAAACAAAAAATAGCATTCAGAACGACGACTTCTTCTTCTTCTTCTTCTTCTTCTTCTTTCTTCTTCTTCTTCTTCTTCCTCTGCGAAATTCTTCTTCTACCTTACTTTCCTCTTGGAATTGTTCCTCTGCGAAATTCTTCTACCTTGCTTTCCTCTTGGAATTGTTCCTTTGCGAAAATAACCTGGGTGATTTCCTATTTTTCTTGTAAGATGAATCAAAATTAAATAGACATTGTTTTCCATAATTTAGGAATAGGATATTGAGATGAATCTGAAATTTTGGAACAAAGGACCCATGACGAGAGTTTTAATTCTTTGATATTGGCTTGACTTGCATTCTTGAAATTCTTTGACTCACTAGTATGGTATCTATAGTTGGACATTTGTTTTCATTATTTAGGAATATGGAAGAATAGCTCAAGTCTATAAACATTTTGGAATAAATACTTTCTAAAAGAACCAATGCTTAGTTGATAAAATAAGAAGTATACTAGTGTTAGTGATTAATGTGTGTAGGGCACACTTTAGATTTTCGCCCTGGGCCTTTGAAAACTCAGGACCGGCCCTGCTCTTCCATCCCTTGTACAATTTTTAGCATATGATTTCGCCCACTTGCACCAATCTCAGAGACCACCTCCAGTAGTTTTAGTGAGAAAGGCACCAATGTCAACCACAGCACCCATATAGCCTAGTGCCTTCTCAGACAAAAATTTAGATATTGGCAAGAAATCTCCAGGGAATGTAGCCAGAATCTGTAAACCCTTCACTGCATATCAATTTAAAATGAAAACCACCACAGTCAATAAAAATATCTGCGCATTGCTACCTTAAACTTTCAAATAAGTATATGTCTTTGTCCTTTTACTTTCATTTATTTTTATATAACTCTATTTACTTAAGTTTACAATGTAAATAAGGAAGTTACCCCCATATGGATTCAAATAAAAATACTAGAAAATCAAATTCCCACCAAATCAAAATATGAAAAATCGGTTTTAGTGCAAAATACGATTTAGGCTAAAAATGATAGCTCATTAAATCAATATATACTTCACACTAAAATTCCCTAAAATCATGTTTTCTTATTTGATGTGTAAGGAATAAAAGCTGCCAAAAATTATCTTGAGAAAATGATTATTCCTTTAAACCATTTTTTATACTTAGCCAATATTTTTACATAAAACAAATTTTCATGTATGATATGAATGCATGAAGAGACCTAAGGTCAATTTAGGTAAAAAGCCTTAGATGTTCAATCCACAAAGAGTTTTACAAGAATAACCTAACTCTTACATATCGAAGAAATAAAAGCCGCCACTGGCTGTTGCACATCATGCTTGTTTTTATTATTTATTTTTATAAATAAATCTTGGCCAAAATTGCACCTCCATTAAAAAATTCTTGAGTCCGCCAGTGAATGTCATTGATATTTTTTTGAATCATTATATATATGTTTGCTATCTAATCACCCTTTAGGTGTCTCCATTGGAGAATATGGACACCAGAATCGAATTTGTCAATACTACCCCCTAGACATCACAAAACCCCCAATCACTCCAATCACTCGAATTTGTCCACGTTCTACCCTCAGTTCCCCTCCTACACACACCCAACCAATTATTATTTAAACCCCTCCTTGCTTCTTAACAATTTATCTCATCACACATTGTCCTTACAACTCTCTCTCTCTCTCTCCCTCCCCCCAATATATCTTCTTTATTATCCTTTGCTTTTCTACCCTTCTCATCAAATGGACAAAAACCAGTCGTGTAGGCAGGTTCGTCTCATGAGGCAGTCCCTCTTTTTTTTGGTTACATTGGAGGAAAGAAACCCCACTGGGGTTCGATCCTGGGTGCCATGGGGGGAAGGAGGAATCCACCACCATCCTGGGTGCCATGGGGGGAAGGAGGAATCCACCACCACTGTGGTGGGCAGTCCCTCTTTGATCAGGTTTTTCTTTTTCTTTTGCATCTCTTTACCTTTTCTTTTTCCCTTTTTCTTTTCAAATTTAAATTCCTCACTTTTTTTTTCTTATGAAAAATTCCTCACTTTATTAATCTTCAAACTCGTAATATATATTTTACAAGGTACTAATGCAAGGAGACACTGTTCATATCATACATGTAATGCATGACGCCATTAAGTGTTAGAAGTATGCCCTAAAAGCCAATCATTAGATGAAATCTTTTATGCATCAACAGAAACTTCATTTAAACCAATCAGTTGGGTTAACATAAAAGGGCAAATATGTCAACACAGTAACAATTCATGTGTAACCATCGACTTACTTGACAAGTCCATGAATTCATGAGATAAGGAAAGTGATCCAAAGAGGTTAGATGCAAAGGGACCTTTCCCTATAACTTAAACAAAAAATATTCTCAGTCATAGGATCGATCAACTGGGCATTGACGAATGGCAAAGACCGGTACACACTCTATCTGCTCAATTATGAGGATGACTAGTCTCAAGTTATTCATATATGGACACTAAGATAAGTGCGTAGGTGCTTGCTAGAGAGTGAGTTCATTGAACATAATCAAGTTAAGGAATCTTGTATGGAAGTTCTACTAGCATGTCAAAAAAGATTTCTTCGGTTGCAAAAACGCAAGATTAATCCTTAGACTTGAGGCACCATGGTTGTCTTATGAATGCTTAATTGGTCTCTGATTGTATCATAAGGTTGAGCTCATCCTTGGGCTCGATTCAAGGTAATGTCAGGATCCTCGACAAGTTCATAGAGGCAAGTGAGTGCACAATAAGGAATCTCAACTTCTAGTAAGAGGGAGAGAATGTTATGAGATATGATTTAGGAATCTCCGGCCGGAGTCGGAGCACAATTGAGAAATAGTCTTCTAATTGTGTTCATATTGAATCATATAGTCATATAGCCAAGAGCGATCACGTTAGAGATTTGACATGAATTCCGTATCCTATTAATGAGATCAAGAACATTGTGAAATAGAGAAGGATCGAATTGCATTGTAATTCCAACTAAATGGATTCTCCTAATATAGAAAACAAAGACTTTTACAAAGATTTGTATGGATGATATCACTGAAGGGATGAGAACAAAGGTGGGTTAAAAAGGATGGTGAAAAGTCGAATATATCAGAGGAAAGAAGAGTTAGGGTAGACGGAGACGGTGAAAATTAAAAAGGAAATTAATAAAATCCCTTAATTAATAAAATACATTAATATGTGTGTCAATTTTAATTAAGTTAGGTGAGTTAAGATTTTTAACCTAAGTCCTTAGAAGTCATTTTATAAAGGGATAAATTTATCTTTAAAATTTTAAAGATAAGATGAGTGGGGAAATAGAACATGGGGTAGAAATAGCAGCACTCTTTAACAAACGAGATAGTAGTGTTGTACTAGCCACTTGGTAAAAGGCATTTATGTATTATGAGAAAACAACGTAAGAGTAGTTTTGGTATGAAAATGTTAATTCCAACTTATCGTTTCTCAGTGCCACCTAAGCCATATGACACTAGAGGTCGTAACCTCAAAATTACAAGAGACAATTATAAAGTTTCCCAAAATTGGAATAAATTTTTCCCTGACCATTTTCAGCATACATCCCATCTTTGGGTATGACAATCCTTTCCCTTCAATTTAGTGGGCATTGATTTGGGCCTGAAGACCAAGGGTGCGTTGATCCAACCCCAGAAATTCTGAAGCATTCTTGTTGTGTATAATAAAACCCATTTCATATTCTAGCAAGGAACACGATAATCATGAAGAAATGCATAGCTTACATAGATATTAGAATCCAAAAAGCACCTAATTAAGTTTTCTAATACACCTTCATTAATCTAACGGAGGTTGGTGCACATACATAGTACAAAATCCACTAACCACTCAAACTAATTGTAGCCTCTGGCCCCCCTCTCTGGCTGTTAATAATTTTTTCTTCACTTGGGGCGACATGCTGTCTCAATAGGCCCAGCTTGCCTTGCCATCTGAAACAAAAAAAAATAAATTCAACACACATTTTAATATATATATATATACGTACACACTGGGAGGTGTAATTTGGAGAGTTTACCTGAAAATAAGCCTCAAGCCTCTTCTTCAGTGTTGCATGCTCTTTCTTCAATGCTTGGAAAGTCCTCATGCATCTGGATTTACCATCAAAACTTTTAAGTGACATACCAATTTTATTTACACATTTTTTTCCTTCTAAAATTTATTCTCTATATTATCAATTTGTTATATGTTTTGTACAAATATAAAGAGAGAAGATTCGAGATTCGAAATTCGAGTTAAGAGAATATAAATATGACGAGAGTTTTTAAGTGATTGATGCTAGGATTGCGTACGTACCCTTCTCCATTTCCTGCCTTGCAATATTCCCTGAACTGTTGGCACTCAGCTTTTACCTTTTTGGCTCCGATGCTGCACCAATTAAGAGAAATGTTTAGTTGGGATTAAATCTTGTCATCTCTAAAGCCAACATAGAATATACTTACAGATTCCTTTATAATATTTCTTAAAATTAATAACAAATTGAGGACATTTTATTTTTTATTTTTTACCTTGAGCTACTTCCCTTGAACTGATGCATGTAGCCGTCCAATTTATTAAAATCACGAGGGGTCTTCTCTCTGCATATATATCCTATACATTATTATATGTCCCTGACATATATAATCAACCACATATATATTGTCATTAAAAAGAAGTGAAAATTATAATTAATTTGACTCACAGCGCCAGCTCTATGGTTTGGAGTGATCTAGATGAATCTCGGTAGTAGGATGTAGCAATTTCCTCCACAAAATTTGGGTTAGCATCATCTTGCAGCTCCTCCAACTCACTACTATGTTTTACTATTTGCACGACGATAGTTTGCGCGACGAAGACAGAATCGTCTTATATAAGACCATAGCGTGACGGACAAGAATATGCGTAGCGTAAAATTGAGCGACAGCGTAGATGACCGTCGCGTAAAACAACTTAGCGCGACAGCGTAGACAACCGTCACGTAAAACTAGGGGAAAAAATCGCGATTCTGGCGCCAAATTCTTGCGCGACGACTAAGCTCGTCGCAAAAGAGATCTTTGCGCGACAATTTCCTTATCCGTCGCACAAAAAAGTGGAAGGAAAATAAAGCAGCAATGGCGCGAATATGTTGCGCGACGAATATGCAACATTTGGCGCACTGAGTCTCTTGCGACGAGAAAGAAAGTCGTCGCGTAAGAAAAACGCGCGAAAGATGACTTTTGCGCGACGAAAAAAGTGAATCGTCGCATATAATCGTTGTCGGCAGAGTGGTTTTTGCGCGACGATAAAAAATTATGCGTGACGAAAAAGTTTAATGCGACGAGAAATGCATTCATCGCGCAAAAATCTCAAACTTTGCGCCATGACATAGAGGCTTAATGCGACGAATATGTATTCGTCGCACAAATGTTGACATTTTTGAGCGACAATAATTATTTTTGCGCGACGAATATTGTTCGTCGCGCAAAAAAGTTCATCTACTACATTATCCGGTTCAGCCATGGCAGAGGCAAACTGCAAAAAGAAATTGCAGCTTGCCTCTCCCTGTCTCTTCCTCTCTCTCGAACGTTTTGGGCCAAAAAAGGTATTCAATTTCGTTTCCTGTATGAGTTGAACTACCTCTACCACTGCTAAGTTCGTTCGGTATGTATTTTTTGTCGTTAGTGTAAAAGTGTTAATGTAAATTTATACTAACACTATTAATTTCGTTGTTTATAGGGATATTATATGTGATTAGCGATTGGTGGAGAACGATTGATAAGGTATTTTCGTCGTTTTATAATTTAAAATAAAAAATTTATTACATTATGTTTATATTGATTTATGAAATTATATTTATAATATGTTGTTAAATTATGTATGTACGTTGATGTACGAGGTTAATTGAAATTAACTTCGTACGTGGGTAAACCACGACTACGGTCCAATTAATTCTTGAATTGTCCCATATTTTGGACAGTTTGGAAATGCATAGTCGTGTCACGTAGTTTATAGCTACAGGATTAGGTTTCGATTGTGGAGATTTCGATGTCATCTCGGTATGTTCTTCGGGTGGTACGTAGGTATTTTATATCTACGGTACACCTCAAGAACTGTACCGAGATGCTGCCGAAATTCATCCACATCGAAATCTAATCTCATGTAGCTGTAAATTACGTGACGTGACTATGCATTTCCGAATGGGATAGGGCCATTACCGGAGGCATAAGGAAAGATTTTGTACGAATACAACATAATTGTTGTATTGTGATTGTGATTCCAGGAACTATGAGCAGGAGGTGGATACAGAACCCGAATAGGTGCGCAGACGAATACTTGGACGGAATCGAGGATTTTATTGACTTTGCACGGACACACAACCCGGGTGCAACTAGAATCCGGTGTCCTTGTAGGAGCTGTAACAACACGTTGTGGGACACAATTGAAAATGTTTGATTTCATTTAGTGAGGAATGGAATGATTGAGACATACATCACTTGGAACCATCACGGGGAACAGTTAGACATTGCTTCGTCTTCAGGGGCCACAAGAGTAGACAATGTTGAATTGAACCCATTGTGGATCCTAATGAACAAGTCAGGGATATTATAATGATGCATTTCCATTTGCATTGACCAGCAGCAATCAGGAAGGTGAAGATGACGTGCCTACACAAATGGACAGTGCAGAGTTCGAACAGTATGAAAACTTGTTAAGAAATGCCAACCAAGAGTTATACCCGGGGTGTGAGAGCTTTTCCGTTCTGACGGCGATTGTGGAGCTAATGCACGGAAAAATAAA